GAAGTCCATGAAATGCATTTAGGTTAAGATACTCAGTTGATCTGTTATCCGTTGTATGATTAACTATATCTATATTTATATCGCCCATCACAGATAAGTTTTTATGGGAAGACAACGACGTAAGAATCACGTTTAAAGATTGTAAAAACAATTCTACATTTTGAAAGCTAGGCGAACAATAAATTGCAACTATAGCAATACTTTTGTGTTTTATTACCACACAGTTTCCTTCAGCAAACATGGGCTCCGTAATTAAAACCTCAATATTATTTTTGTAGTAAATTACGATACCATCGTTTTGGTTATAGGTCTTTATAGATTTGTAATATGTGTAGCCAGGTATTTGTGGTGTTATGGAATTACACAATAGCCAACACTCGGTTAAAATAATAATATCACATTGTATTCTAATTTGCGTTAAAAGAACTAGGAAGTCATCTATATCACGTGAGATACTGCGAATGTTTTGTTGTATTATTGTGAGGCATGTACTTTCGTCAATCTTTAATAAATGGAAGTTTTGTGTATCGCATCTCGCCATATCCGATACAGTAACATTGTCAACATTCTGTGTAATTTCATTTAAATGATTGAATTTTATAAAGAGATAACTGCTTCTTCCAAACAATTGATGCCGATATATTATACATAAGTAATGAATATTGTGTAAAAAGTAAACCAAAGAATATTATTATAAGAAAGTAAAAACTAATTTTAAACACAAAATGTCTAAAAATACTAAACGAGGTACAAACTAGTGCATCTAGCACTATTATTTTGTTAAAATTCCTTATTTTTTCTACTTTATTAAGGAGTTGAAGAGATGAAAGTGTCTGCCCATGCCTTATACAATTTGCGGGTATAGTAACAAATGGATACTCTAATATATACATTAACAATTTATATTTTACCAAAAACAATTCAAGACTTACAAATACAATATACTGCTTAACATAGGGCAATTTATTTATAACCACAATAGTTAATAATACATTTAAAGTAATGAGAAACATTTCAAACGATTGGGATATTGATCATTATATAAATACTTATCAAATTATTCGCCTTATTTTATAGAAATATTTATTTAATGGTCTTATAATTATAGTCAAAGCCTGTAAAGCCCGACAATTACACTTGGATTTATAACGAATACCAATTATTGTCGTTAATTTATTATCGTAAGTAACTAAAATTAAGTATGGGATTTTAAGTATAATTTGAAAGAAGGTGTTGTATATTTTAATAACATAAAGTACTATTTTTTTATTCACTCCATCGTAAGAAAATGTAATTAGAATACGTTTGGTTTTGTAAATATAATTAAATTTTTATTGTCTGTAAATATAATAGGCAGAGGTTTATGTTTTATGCGTAAAAAGTATGAATGTGTGTTGCAATGTAAAATATAATATATAATTATGTTAATAAAAGTATAATATAAAAAAAGCATGCAAAAATGTACTATCTTATATTCGTATATAATAATCCAATCAGAAAATGGAGCGATATTTATTTTATTCACCGAGCCTAGTCACTTCAGTCTGTTTAAGTCTTCTTCCGAATCGATTTTTATAGACGGCAAGCCATCTATCTTTCTTAGAAAAACTTTTCCGTATGAGATCCAGCATCTGTTATAATTATTAGTCTTGGCAAACTCTTTAGCAAGGTGAAATAACCGCCTAGCTTTGGCAGTCAGAGCTTCGCAGACAAATATTGGTCGTGGTGGCCCGTCAATTTGTAGGTGTTTAGAAGAAAGTTTCATATCCCGGCTTTGTTTATTAAATGATTTGACTGAGCGAATTATTGACTCCTTAATGGAGGTTTTATTCAACCTTGCGATTATGGGGGTATCCTCGTTGGACTTGGATTTTATACGGTAAATGTCACAGATATCTTTGTCCTCGATTGGCTGATTAAGGGTTGAGCCAACATGTTTCACCAATTCACAAAGAGCCTGTTTATTTTCATATTGCATCTTAGGTACATTTCTAATTTCGATGGTGGAGGCAAGAGCAGAGCGTTCCATAAGTTCTATCTTATTTTCGAGAAGTGTTATTCGAGACTTATATCCTTCATTCTCCTTATGTAAATTTTCCATCTTTTTAGAACATCATCATATTTAGCTGATAGAAATTCAATAGATTGCTGAATTGCGGAGTCCTGTTCTCCGATTTTTTGAGTGTATCAATAAATGTCTGAAATTTGAAGTCTTGTTGCACCTGCATGTCGGCAATCATTTGTTTCATCTCTTGCATCACAGAGTTATCTGATAAATTATCCTCAAATTTTCTTTTAATTCGACGTTAACATTCGAAAGCTGCCCTTCATCTTTTTCCATGCTAGTCGTGTTAAGCGCAGAGTCAGATAGATACCGCGTAGGAGAATTTTCTGTTGCGATGCATGGAAGCATGCCAGGAGGAGTCCTTTGAAGTGACATTATACAGTAAGTAAAGTTATAGGCCTAATTGAATAGCCGACGGCACTGCAGTGTTACTGTATAGGTGTATTTATATATATCCAATAGATAGTTCTAACAAACATACGTATAATGACAGTCAGACAGTCGCTCGATCGTATTGGCTATCAATTAACTTTAAACGTCTAAACACAGTAAAATATCTCCACACTTCTTATACTATCATCAGCTTTCTCTCTCACACACAGCGTTTCGTTTCCTTAATCTTCAGCGCTCCTAGTATTACGGATGTGACATTGAGTGAAAAAAATCGATTAATAAAAAATCGATTTTTTGCTTTGTGATAATAATCGATTTAATAAAAATCGATTTTTTATAAAAAAATAATCGATTTTTACGAAAAAAAAATTATTCGAAAAATAATCTTCTGGTTTTAGAAATAAACTACAGAACAATTTTTTTAACATATAACATTGAACAATAAAAACTAAAAATAATTACTGCCACAAATGTTCACTGCCATTTAACAATTTATTACAACCAAAATAAACAGAAACGAAAAATTAAACTAAGTTTTACGTATTTTATCGCGTATAATTTAACTTTTTAATTCCCGACCTTTCAGGTGCTTTACAGCACGCATGGTCGCAGAGGGGACTGAGGTGTTTGACGTCCCTATGTCATAGTTGAACCACAAATCCTCGCAAAAGAACACCGATTCCTACCAAGGATGATTCGCGAGGCTATCGAAATTAAAAAAACATCCTAATTTCAATAGAGAAGATGGATGGGTGCTGCCATCTGCTTGGCATCCTATAATTAATAAAATTAAATCCAAACCCAAGCATACCACTGTAAGACTTCAAGATACTGTAAGCTCATTCTGCGTAGATCGGACCAAAAATTAATATTCAAAAACTGAATTTAGCCAGGCTAACTATGACATCTGGACGTCAAAGACCTCAGTTCCCCCCGTGACCATGGGTGCTGTGAAGCACCCGAAACGTTAGGAATTAAAATGTTAAATTAAGTGATCAAATCCCTAAAAATTAATTTCATTTAATGTGTAGTAAGAAATCATTAAGAAACCATAATTTTAGTAAACGATAGTTTTTTTTAAACTAAGTTTGAACAAACAAAAAGTCTAAATATCATTATGCCACTAATGTTCAGAATCATTTACATTGGATTAGAATGAAAATAAAATAAAAATATAATTATAAATAATCCGACGACAACCTTGTGATCTCAAAACTAAAATACAAGACAAATCTTTTTTTAAACTTGTGTAAACAAAAGAACTAAAAAAAAATATTGCCATGAATTTTCAGTTAGACTTTAAAAACAATCATTACACCAAAATTCTTCTTCGTCTCTTTCCCAAAATACGGTTTCGTTTTTTCCTGACAATATTTCCCGCTTTCAAAAATAATCTTTCGGCTGGCGCGGAACTGGCCATCACAGAGAGGTGTTTAAAAGCCAATTCGGTTAGTTTAGAGAAAGTTCCTTCAGAGCCATATATTGAGGGCATCTGCCTTGAGATTTGATAGTGGTGCCGCAATATATAGATCCAATTCAGTATTTTTGCCTATTGACGTGTTGGCCGCTATCATTTTTTCATTATAAAATACTTCTGTCAGTCACTTTTACGCGTTTCACAAGACATTTTTATTGTTTATTTATAATTGTTTACACTAACCAAAGAAAGAAAGAAAACCACAGAATACTTTTACTCCTAGCGGAGGAAGAAACCTGTTGAAAACATACGAAAAGCGAAACTGTTTTACATACATAGAGATACATAAAAGTGGCGCCGTCTTTTGATTGACTTATTCATGTTATTGAACTTACTTCACGTTTTTACATCCATCGCACAGATGACTCTGATTACAAAAATCGATTGAAACGCGTAATTTATATAAAAATCGATTTATTAAAAATCGATTTTTATTATAAAAAAAATCGACTTCATAAAATCGATTATAAGAAAAAAATAATCGATTAATATGAAAATCGATTATTTTTTCACATCCCTACCTAGTATTGTACAATAAGCGATTCGAATGTCACCGCTTACTCGTGCACTTTTTTTGCATTAATAATAAAGTTGTTTCTCTCACCTAGTAGTGGGCGGAGCCATAGTTGACGTATTTACGTGATAGGTCCATGCTTCTATATACAGGCTTGTTTATCCAAAGACTAGCCAAATTTTAAACTCAAGTTCAAATATATAAATAATGATATACCGTTATTGCAGTTTTTGAAAATACGATTAAATAAAGCTTCTACTTTTATAATAACCAATTAAATGACGCTTCATTTTAATAGACGCTAATAATTCATTTATTTGTATTTGTTGGTCAATAATATAATACGTTTATCAATAATAATATGCATACTACGAAAGTAACTTCGTTCCAATCGAGTGTTCCCCGACACTCACGCATGTTTTTCTTCTTTCTTTTTTGAAACATTCCGTCTATAGTTTTTATTGTTCTTAGAAAATACTAAAAATTTACGAATTTAAAAGTTTTAGCAAGTTATTACTCGCAAATTTTAATTACAATGTTAATTTTCACAGATATGTTAAAAGTGGAGGTGGTTTTACTGAAGCTCTTATACGCGGCGCTGGTCATCTTGCCCCGATAGACAAGCCGGAACAAGTTAGGCAACTGGTGTCCTACTTCATCAGAGGTCTAGATATGCCTATGCCGGCAAATTATGAAGCAGAAGCAGAATATACACCAGGATATACTGACTTAGTAAAAGCTAAAATTGAAAATGACGATAATAATTTTAAAACTGGCATGTTTATTAGCATTAGTATAAACGTTATTTTAGTATTAATTATTGTTGTGTTGATTGTGTTCGTTGTAAGATGGAAGAAAAGGGGCGAAGACTATTTCTATGCTCCTCTTTCGGACGGTATATTAACTATGACATAGTGTGATTGCGATGTTTTAAATCCTAATTTACCAAAGTCACAAACAGGCAACTAAAACTATAAAGATAACTATTTTTTTACAAAAGGTTGTGAAGCATTTTTAAACGTGTTTTATACAAGGAAGATGACAAACGAGCACACAGACTACCTGATGGTAAATGGGTGCCTATAGATATCAACTTCAAACATCGATTAAGAAACAAAATGAAGATGCATTGCACTTTTGAGGAATGTGAAAAAGGTTTTCCATTAAATCTGTCACAATTATGTGTTACATATTAATGCTATCGTTTCTTGTTTTACATAAGTTTTAAATTTAACTTGTACTTATTAACTATACAATTAACCGATTATTATGAAATATTATAAAATTATTTTCTTGCATGCCATTTTTTACAAATTCGATTTTATAAAAGAGTTTTTCATGCTTGACCCTGGGGTTGGTGCTACAAACCACTAAAATTTCGAGAATATTTTGCATTAACAATTAGTTTTGTTAATGCAAAATATTGTGTAGCTTTCGCGTATATATAAAAATCATTACAGAATCGGTGTTGTTATAATAATTACTCAGTTACAAATCGATTATATGAAGAGAAAAGAACGAAGAAAGAATATTATATAATTTTTATAGTAATTTTCGGTCATGAAGTTAATGATGACTAAAGTTTCCGTATTTATAATGTACTCTTTGCTTTAAAGCAAAAAATATACTGAACTAAGACTATACTAATATTATTTTAAAACCTGATAATAAAATGTATTTTTCGATATAGATGTGTATCTGTTGTTGTCTTCTTTTTTTTCCATCAGCTGGTAACAGTGCACTATTGGTCATTGGCCTCGTACAATGTAGTTAAAGGCTTGCCATAATCGATACGCACATCGCACCTTGGTAGGCAATTTGACGTACACAGTGCCAGATGTTTCACACCTATGAGCTGCTTCTTGTTACCGGTCTGTATATTTTAACATTTGGCTTATACTTGTTGGGGAAATGATGACAATATAGATTTTTTGGCATATCTCATAGCGTATTGCGACATTCACCACAAGAAATAAGATAGTCGACTATCTTACGTCGCCACCAGATGGCAGTTGATTGTAATGAAAGAAAAACTTGTTATACACGAGTTTAATGAAAAAAATAATTTTATAGAGAGAAGATAATTAAAAAACCATGCTGGTCTGACACTTACAGGTTGCATGTTTATGTTGGACAAAAAAAAAAGAATGTGCCATTCTACTCTTTCACACTTTTCTACTATATAAATATTCTACTCTTTTTCTACTCTGTTATATAAATTTTCTACTTTCAAGTACTTCAATGGTAAGCAGCACATTTTACCTTTTAAAAGATGTATGACAAAATCTACAAGCCCTGGTCAAATTATTTACGCTGACTTGTGTGGACCTATGGAAGAGAAATCTCTAAGTGGCTTAAGGTATTAATTACTTATGTATAAAAGATTATGTATCACATTATAGAGCTGTTTATTTTATTGCAGAAAAGTTAGAGGTGTGTGAAAAAATGTATAAGAAGGATATAGATCTTAAGTATGGACAATGGAACTGATTTTTCGACTGATCCGCTTTTTCGTTTTTATTTTTTGAAAATTTTTGAAACGGCTCGATCGAAGGACTTGAAAATCTAATCATCTCGAATTCTCAATGAACATTTTCGAATCGCCCATTTCAATATGTTCGTCGTTCTGAAGATATCGTACGACAAAATTTTATTTACATACATACACACACACACAAACACACATACGGCAGAAGACCGGGAATAGTCGGAATGGCTTCTTATTACCTTAAAACGTGGAGATCTGAGGAATAGAAGAGAGAGTTTTATTCAATATAGATTATTACATAATACTTATAATTTTTTTATTTACCATTGGTTCGGAAAATACCTGTCTGTCCTGGGAAGAACCAGCAAGAAACCTAGCGGGACTTTTTTAAAAACACATTTCGCTTTACAATAATTTTGTGTTTTTTGTTTGTACATATTTTAAATGAGTTTTAATAGAACCAGCATGGTCATGCAGCATGATCACCTCATTCCCAGGGGTTTTTTGCACTTTAGTGTTCTTTAATATTATAATAATCCTTTTTGTACTATTTTTCTTTAATAAAACATTTAAACTTATTTATTGACAAATTTTGTACATTTTCAGGGATTTTGTTGTAAAAGTCTTAATTTTCATTTCATCATTGCCCCATAAATTAATTACTAATTCTGTAGAGTCTAGTAACTGGTACTACAAGCTTATGTTTGTTCCTAGTGTTTAAAGTATGAACATCTTTATTCTTATCAAAGCTATTTATGTTTTTATGAACATACATTATTACATTTTCATAAATATATTGCTATGCCAAAGTTAATATGTTTATTAAATCTTTCTCTAAAAGACTCATTACAATTTTAGTTATAAATTGCCCATACGGCTCTTTTTTGCAAAACAAATACAGTTTCGATCTCAGTCGCATTACCCCATAGCAAAATTCCATAAAACATCACGCTATGAAAGTAAATAAAATAAACTAATCTAGCTGTATTCAACCACGGAGCGATTACAAATAAAAACTTTGTATTTGCTCCGTGGTCTCAACATTGGTGAGACTTTTAATATTTCTTTCAACATATGCTGCAGAACTACATCTACTTGCTAATTTAGATACTGATATTGATACGGGGGCCCCATTGAAGCTTCGCGTCAATAGAAAAGCAGTGATATCCACACGACTGAACTCCTCCCCATTTATGAGCACATTGGTATTTTGAATGTTTAACAATAATGTAAATGTATTAACATTTTGTCTTATTGCCGTTTAAGAGCATTGTTCGTGTTAAACCAATTTACTAGTTTCGATACAGCATTATTTGCATTGTCAAAATTAATTGGCTGTCGTTTGAGTTTAAAAATGAAAGAGGTATCATTAGCAAATAATACTATATCGTGATTGTCCCCTACAAGTTAAGGTAAGTCATTAATATAGACTAAGAACATGAATGGGCCAAGAATCGAGCCCTGAGGAACACCCATTAATACTACTGATCCGGAGAATCTGTTATTTAAATATGAAATAATAAGTCTAAGCGCAATATTTTTGATACCGTAATGTTGTAGTTTCTTGATTAATATCTCATGATGAACACAATCGATAGCCTTGGAAAGATCACAAAAAATACCTAAGGCATCTTGTGAACTCTCCCAGGCATAAAAAATATATTTCATAAGCTCGACACCTGCGTCAGTCGCCAAGTGACCCGTAGTGAAACAATTAATAATTTTTATTAATAGAATAATTTATTTTTATTAAAAAAATTAACAATTGATCTAAAATTATCCTTTCAAAAATTTACTAAGAGTTGGTAGTACAGATATAGGTCTAAAATTAGCGGGGTCCAATGTACTACCAGATTTAAATAAATGTATAACTTTACTATGTTTCATTAAATCAGGAAACACACCAGATTCGAAACTAGTATTTAAAATTATTTCAAGAGGAGGTGCAAATAAATCTATTCTTTTTAAATTTATTTTGGCAACAAACAGTTACAAGAAAATAAAATACAAACAACTTATCTCTTTAAAATTGACCTATAGTGCAGAAAAGTTAAACACAATTTAAAAAGAAAGTTACATGGTAACACTACATAGCGATTATTTACATAACAAAACGACTAAGTCCAGAAGCATTAACAGAATATATAGGTATATAAAATATTAAAAAAAAATTGCAACTCACTTGCAAACCTTACTTCAATTGGTTTTTAATGTTTGTTTTAAGGTATTGAGAGATGTATTAGAAAGGTCGATATTAGTAAATTGTTTATTATATAAGTCAGTGGAACGGTATAAGAATGAGTTTCGAGTATATCTTTTATGTAACCGCGGAGGAACAAAAAGTGGCATTTTACGTGAAGATCGCACTGGAAGACGAGCACGAGCCATAAATTACATCAAATAATTTTCGTCTATTACAAAGGGATAACAATTTATACCTAAGCAAAGATTCATTATATGATTCGTTAGTAATGTTATTACGATAGTTAAGTGACCTTAGGAATATCTTTTGTACTCTTTCAATTCTATTCTTATGTACATATGATAACAGGGACTCCACACAATACTACAAAAATCTAAGATTGACCGAACAACGGAAAAGTATAGAGTTTTTAGCGTTATTGTTTTATTAAAGGGTTTGCTAACCCTAAGAATAAATCCCAAACTACGAAATGCATTGCCTAACATATAATCAATGTGTATATTGAATGACAATTTTGAATCCATTAGAGATCCATCCATTAGAGAAATTATTATTCCCAGATCTCTAATACTATCTACTCTTTTGATAGTGGTGTCATTCAAGCTATAATCAAATATTATATTGTTGACTTTACGTGTATATGATATAATATGGCATTTATCAATATTGAGATATAATTGGTTATTTCCACAATAATTACATAGAGAAGTTATGTCTTTTTGTAGATTTACACAGTCATCAACTGTTTCGATAACTCTGAATAACTTTGTGTCGTCGGCATAAAGTAGGTAATCACTATTTTTAGTGCAAATCCTATATCATTAATATATAAAGAAAACAGCAAAGGGCCCAAGTGTGATCCTTGAGGAACACCTGATGGTACGGGTAGAAATTGTGAAGAGTATCCCTTTACACAAACTGCTTGAAATCTATTTTTAATATAAGATTGGATCCACCTGAGAAGGTTGCCGTGAATGGCAGCCCAATGAATGTGAATTATGCTGATTAGTCAATGCGAAATGCTCTTGTTTTAAAATCACAAAGTTAAAATATATGGTCATGGGCACAAAGACTCAAATAAGTAGAATTTGTTATGACCTAGACGTAAGGATTCTGGGTAAACTTATAATGCGCGTGGATGAAGCCATAAACCTTGGTATAACATTCGACAGTAATCTTAGATACGAAAACATGTCCTAGATATTGTAAGAAAACTGTTTTTATCGTCTAAAAGTACTATACAAAATCCGTGACCAACTTTCTGTACCGTCACGCATTACTCTTTGTGAGGCTCTAATTTTGTCTAGGCTTAACTACGGAGATGTTGTTTATGGACCTCGGATTTTGATCAAAACAAAACGACTAATATAGCGCGTGCAAAATGCATGTTGTAGATTCTGTTTTGATGTCCCCCCTAGAAGTCATATTACTCCTTTCTTGAACATTGCTTCCATGCTCAACATGGACTCACGTAGAGAGTTGCATTTAGGAGGGCTTGTCTTCAATGTTGTTAAGAATAAAAAACCTGAGTACTTGCATGCAAAGATAAAGTTTGCAAAGCAAAATTCTGGAAAACAATTGAGGTCCATAAGATCAGCACTTCTGAATTACAGCCATAAAACAGAGGCATTTATTGGCAGTTTTCGATATATGGCAACGAAGTGTTGGAATAACATCCCACCACCAATAATAAATCTTAACACCAATTACAATTTTAAAAATAAATTTAAAACATATCTTCTAGATAAACAAAAACATCTATTCCCATACAATCATTCTAAGAATAAAGAATCATTCTATTCTATGCAATTTTTCACACTTACACACTATTTCAGTAATTTAAAAAAATTAAACCCAAGATGCAAGTCGTAGGACTGAAAGGACACATAATTCATACTACATGCAGCAAATAAAAGCTTTATCTATCTATCTATCTATCTATTATGGACGCAATAACTGTAACAGAAATCCCCCACAAAACAGCGGTTTTCTTTACATCAAGGGTTTTGAAATATTTTAAAATATCTTGTGGTAATATTTTTTCAAATCTAAATTCTTTTAAACAGGTATTAACATTCTTCATCTATTAACATTCCGTTTGAGTAATGAATCATAATTTCTTCATTTAGCCATCTGATAAAAATTTTAAGTGTGCTAGTCAAACATCAATGACGATATTTGGGTCATTACACTAGATATAGTCTTTTAAATATTTTGTAGTACAATTGATCATCTTCAGTATGATTGACCGTGTCTATGACTTTTATAAGTCTATGTTATTTTTGATGAAAATTATTATTGCAGATAAAAGTCCTTTCACATTTATTTTAGTCTCGAATTAAATTAATCCAAATGAAAATAAGAACTTTGGCTCTTTATAACTGATCTTTAAATGTAAAACACTGACTTGATGATGATTAATCAGCAGTTTTTAATTCATTGAACTTTTTTTAGATTGTATTGTAACTCTACTGGTAAAAAAAAAACAAATATATATATATATATATATTATAGTTCTTGATGAAAATAAAGTATGCGCGTTACATCGCATCCCATCAAGAATTTCTAATGTAATTCTTGGTGTAAAGCTAAGACGTGATAATAACTGTAAACAATAGAATAACTAAATGATGTAAACATTTGTAAATACTTGTTTTATAACCTAATAAATATTATTTGACCGTAATAAAATAAAACAAGGTAATCTTCGGCATAAAAGTAAAAATAAATATATTCGATTATTTTTGCAATATCTAACAGCCGGATCAGCGCGCGATTCTGATCCATCTAAAGATGCTAAATTTCAGCAAGCACTGTCAAATTCAATAGGAGTGACAGAAAAAAACGGTTCTTGATATAGAAGAGTAAATAAATTATTTAACCTATAAAGTAAAATCACTTTATTAACAATCAAAATAGCCCAATAGCTTTATTAACATGAGACACATAATTGTACGAGTGCTTATGCAATACTTAACATTATTTTACTGAAATCTCAGAAAGTTTTTTTAATAGAATAAGGGTGACAAACGAGCACACAGTCCACCTGATGGTAAATGGTTGCTACGACCCATAGACATCTACATCTATTCTCGAT